CCATCTTTCCTTTTCCTCATAGTGTGTCTGTGAATAAAATCTTATCTATATTTAACAAAACAGTATCTGGGCTATTAGATGAAGCTTCTAAAAAAACGTCTATAAATATGAAATTGTGGAATGCAGAATCAATACTATTAAAATTCAAATAATAGGGCTTATTATTTGCTAGCTAGTTTTTTTTTACGTTGCCCCTATAGGTTTCACTTATAGTAATGTTTTTTCAGAGCATAATGCAATGTTGTTAGTTAACGTAACTAACGTTGACTGTACCAGTGTTCTGTCGAGTAGAGCTACTTTGTCAAGGTAAGCTATGGTTAGGGCTATCGATTAGCACTACGGTATAGCTTACCTCGACAAAGTAGCTCAACTCGACAAAACACCGGCCTCAGAAGGACAATGGTAAGTAATTCAACTTATAAAGATGTCAGCTTGCATTAGTCGATGAAACACTAAAACGAATAAATGAAGGTTGTAAAATAACACATTTTCAACAGGCTAGACTTTTGCTGCCTACTTACATTTACCAATGCACGACAAACAGTACCATGACAGATGAACACAATGAACAGGTCTCAATGAGAATGAATGACGCAACCGACTGGCTGCTTCTAGGCCCGAGGTGGTTAAAATGGTACGGTCCACATTAGGGGTGTATGAAATCGTTTTACATAAAATTTTCTTACAAGGTGAGGTTATCTTTTTTTTTTTTTTACAACAAAAGAAAAATGTTAAGACCCCTTCAAACTCTTATTTTTTTTTCTTTTGGGGGGGGGGGGTCTGGGTCTTGATCGGGGGGTACAGTAACCCCCAGTACCCCCCGTAATTCGAACCATGGTTGAGAGCCACTGATATAGTACTGTATATGCCCTTTTCCCCTTGAGATAATCAATGCATATTGACACATATCACCAGTTCTTTCTTGTCTCTGTGCATTTCAACCAATGAGATGGTGGTGACACAACCAGTCCAGTTTAGTCACGCTTTTGGCCCTGGTAGTAAGCAGGGCCATGTCAGCGTATGTATGACTTGGATAATTTGCAATGGAAAACGGCCTCCTCATGATACGACTCGGGTATGCATCAGTTCTTAGTGGTAGTGGAAAAGTACCACGAAAAATAATGGTAACACGTGGGTTGTCAGGAGTGCCAGAGACCAAGAGTGGAGAAGTGTGCATTACATAGAGCAGGACATTAAAAACATGACATCCTCATGACATCATACCAGCACCATAATAGCAGCACTGCTTGCATGTCAAGCACCAAGATGGGTGGGTGTTGGCCTTGTGCTGGATCCCTACCTTCCTTGGCATAGTAGAGGATCTCCACCTTGTGCTCCTCAGACCCAAGCAAAGCCTGCCCCAACTGGGTCAAGGCACTCTTCATGGTGCCTGGACCCACTAGGAACTGACAGGTGCCGGGCTGCTGCATTATCTCTGCCCGCGAGAAGCCAAACATCTGGCAGAAGCCATCATTGCAGTAGATGATGCTGCAGTTCTTCATTTGCGCATTGGCGATCAGGAACTTGCGGTCTGAGGACACAGTGTAGAAGTTCTAAGCAAGAGAAATCAATGTTAAGGAAAAGCAACCATAGCTCTGCTAGACAAAATGGAAAAGCCAGAGTGCGCATTCTATACTTGTTCTCCTCGTTGTGCTTATCATCTACGTCAGTGTGTCCCAATCTGCTCCTCAGGGACCCGCAGTTGGTCCATGTTTTTGCTCCCACCCACCTCTCTGCCAGATGTGTTTTTTCTCCCTGTCAGTTCCCTTGGGTCCCCGAGGACCGGATTGGGACACATTGATTTACATTATTCATGTTTTTACATGACAATGACAATTTAAAAGCCACTGGCACTGGACGTACTTGTGCCATGGCAGCTGAGGTTTCTCAGAAAACTGACTCTTAGGAGACATTTACTATTGAGTGCAAATCAGCAGTGCATAAATATATTCCATTGTTGCCAAGCATGCGGAAGTCATAGTAAGGTTCCCTTGGCTTTAGAAGAGATGATACCAGTGATGTGCCATTAAAACACGGCACAACCTACAGTAATTAAACAGGAAGGAGCCAAACAGTAGGTGGATATGGAAACAGAGAAAGTCAATGTAGTCACACTCACACATACACACAATTGTGGCTGGTTGGCCTAATTAATAAACTTTTATACAATACCCACTTCACTGTATAAACTTAGAAGCTATGTTATACAATACACCTTCTCACAAGTGGTTAGCTGGATGGCATGCGTAAATGAAACCAAATCATTTACTGTAGGCAGGCACAAAAATCCCCAAAAGATGCACCCTGCTAATAGGAACACTGCTCCACTGAGTGCAGGTTCGCCGGCATTATACAATATGTAATTAATCCACACAATTAGGCTGTTGCTAAGCAGCAATGGCATGTTTCCTTCTCAGTGGAGACAAAGATATCGCCATGTATCTGGGTGGCCCTAGGAGTGGAGTGCTAGAGAAATGAATCGTCCACAGTGGATAGAGCCTACAAGTAGGCGAGCATGAAAAACTTGTCACATGACCTTGTCACCTCTGAAAGGGTCCATCAAACATCTCAGACAGGCAGGCAGCTTTTTACCAGAAGGATGGATGGACTGGTAGTCAGTAGTGTAAAACCTCATGAGCACAGGCAAACATAGCTGCAGGTGCTACCCCAACCCGGAACCGCTGAGAGCAGAACTAGGCTGTTTATCACAGTGTTTTTCAAACCAGTCCTCCGGACCCCCAGATGTTCCATATTTTTGCTCTCACCCAATTTTCTGAGAGCTGGGAGGGAGCGAAAATGTGGACCATCTGGGGGTCCTTGACGACTGGTTTGAGAAACACTGGTTTTCTCATCCAGCTTAGCTTCCCAACGTTATCACACCTTGATAGCCAGCTCCTTAGCAGCAGTTCAGCTCCTCAAGACGAATGGCCTGCCCCACTACCCCAGCAGATCCCGCAACAAGCCAACAGATTCCTATCACAAATCTCATACTAATACATACATTCAAAACTACATGCCAAGGTGATTAGAAAGCTTAAAATTAATAATCAAAAGCAAGGTCAAGACTACAAATAAAATTGCTTAACGCATGAGCTATAGACTGTCATTAAAATTAGTGAAGTAGCAGTTCTGTGTGATTTCATGGTGAAGACATCCATTGTTGACGCATATGTTATGCAGCTACCAAACTGAGTTGACCCCGTGTGTGTACATTAGCCTAATTTGGCGAATGACACCGATGCCTCATAGGCACAGCAAAGCACTGACTCATGGACAAGGGCATCTCTGCAATCCCATCAGGCAAACTCTTAGCAGATAACAAAGACGACCTGGTTTCTATCACACTGACAATGCTGCACATTAGGGAACAGGGGTGCAAGAGGACATTATATATGGGACAGAAGTTACTTTTCCATTTAAGAAGTTGATCTGTGGTCGATTTAGAGGGGAAAAACTGTTTGAATATACACTCCTGGGCAAAAAAAGGGCCAAACCCAAAACTGCTTGGTCAGAGTCCAGATTTGAACCCTACAGAGAATATCATGTCTCACATAAAACTAACCTGGAAATGTTTTTCAGCTACTCAACTGTTTGAAGCTATTAACATTGAGTGGATTAACACTGACTCCTCTTTCTGTAAAAAGCTGTCTGCAAGTTTACCTACAAGACTTAAGCAAAATGAAAGGGAAAACCTAATCTCCCACATCCAGTTATGTGACAGAGACAAGCATTGCTGTTTGATCCTGTGTGGATTCTTTAAATGCAGGGTACTAATGTGCAATAATAATAATAATAATAATGTGCAACTAGGACAAACAGACTCAAGAACAAAAGCCATAGCACCCTAAACGTACACATGCACTGACTGGACAGTAGACTACACAGTCTAACCCCCAACCCCTGGACTTCCTTCTATCAACTGTGCAATATCCATTACCTAAATGGTGTTGATAACTGTGCAATATCTGTATACTGTGCAATATCACATGATCATTATTACCATGTAATACACTGCATA